TATATTTAAACTATTATGCTGCAGTGTTTCCATGAGCATTTCTCCTGTTCTTATTTTATGAACTAAGACATTCATTTCATCTTGGGTTATATCTTGGTTTCTACTATGTTATCAATGCTTCATGATTCAATATAATGTTTTTTTTCTTGTTTGGAATTGTGATACCATCTAGATTAACCTGGTATTAAATAATGACAAAGGAATGGTACTTATGTGTACCTTAAAGAGTATATACATTTCATATAGAAAAGAAGTAAAGAAAATATTCTGAGAGGTGCTAAAAATAGATTGGTATTTTTGGGTGTAAAGGTGTGTGGGTGTTTTAATGACAGGTGAGAGGTTTGCTGAAAATATAATTAGCCAATGAATAATAGTTGTTATATTAGAGATATACGTTAGCTGTACAGAATAATAATTATCTCTGAGCCTGGAAGATCATAGTTCTTGGCCATGCCTTAAAACTAATGTTTGCCTTTAAGAGAAAGCTTGGTTGCCTGGAGTATTAAAAAAAAATCACCATCCTTAATACATTTATTTATGTCAGAGACCTACCTCCTGAAGAGAGATTCTAAAGAAAAATAGAGGAAGCCAAAAAGCAAATCTAAAAAAAGAATTGATAGAGAATCTAGCTTTGTTGCTGTTATTTTAAAGGGACTGATGAGGGAAGGAATTTCAAGACACAGGAAAATACCTTCAACATAAATAAAGGAGGAAGCTGATACAGACATGGATTTCAGCTGATGTTACTCACTTTCTTGAGAATTAAAAGTGTGAGAACATTGAGAGCTTATTAGGTGTAAAGATCCATGTGTTGGATCTGAAGAAAACAATCGCTTTTGTTACAAACTAGCACCTACTTCTAGGGTTAATTAGGGCATAGGGCTGCTCAGTGGATTAAACAAATAGCTTTTGAATTTTGACAGCTATGGCTGTAATTAGTGGATCAGAAGATTTTGACTTTGATGCTTTAAAAATAGCTATATTTAAGCCCACTCAACATTTAAGTCTTCCAGTTGCTAGAGCTGTCTCTTCTTTATTTGAAGAGAATCTGTTTCTTCAGATAAGTTGAAGAGAATACAAGTGGAAAAAGTGTTGTTTTAAATCAGTCAACCCAGGATTGTATACATTTATAGTTACTGTAAATCAAGCAGTCTGGATATTCTTAGTTTGACTTTTTTTTTTTAGCAAACCTGCCAATGTTTGTGCATATATGACATTTCTCTATGTTTACCAGTTATATAACAGTTGCAGATTTTCCATATACTATAAAAAGGAAATTGGAGAAATCAGGCTAAGCAGGATATGGGTGTTTCTCTTTTCATATTTTACAGGTTTACAAATGTTGTTGTTAACTGTTCTCTAATCTCATGCCTGTTTTTTTTTTTTTTCATTTTCCAAGCTCTATAGTAATTGCTGTAGTTAGATTTTAAATGTTCATACAACTTCATTTTTATTCTTGATTGACTTTCTGACACTTGGGGGTGACAAGTGACACCACTGGAAACTTTCTGTGTGGGAATATCAGTGTCATGTGATCGTCTGCACCTTCACACAAGGTCTCTGTGAGGGACGGTCTCACACATCAGGACCCGCCTGGTCTCACAGCAGAGGTGAAGCCAGCAGAGCCGGGACGTGCTCGCCTGCTCCTGACCAAGCCTGTGCTCCAGCTGGGGACATCCCAAGGTACAGACACAGACAGCAGCTACTGTGGGTGTGTGAGTCCATCTCCATGTTGCTTCTCACCCTGTTGATGGCAGAGGAATAGAGGAGCACTTAGTATAGGAGAGATGTGTGGAAAGTTGGGGTTAAATTATGATCTATGTTAATACCTAAAGTTGCCTTTATTCTAGAGAAGAAGGCAGGAGTGGATCAGAATGAGAATTTGTCAAAAGAATTAAATGGACATGAAATTTTTAAAATTGTCACATGTTTTGTGGTATATTTATTTCCTTTTTTAAGACATTATATGTACTTTTAATTCTCATCACAATGGATGCTATTTATCCGGCTAGCAATGAATAACCCAAACTGAATTACCTTTGCATGATGTAACCTCTGATAAATTTTGAAACCTTTGTTAATATGTTTATTTTCTATCAATAGAAATCTAGTCTAATATGTACCAATTTGTTTTGTTGATATTTATGTATATAGATATAAGACAAAAATAACTGCACAAAAATCAGTTATCTCAGAAAATATATGACCTCAAGCAAAGATTTATTTTAATCTTTTATTTATTTATTTGAGAGGTGGAGTTACAGACAATGAGAGGGAGAGACAGAGTTCGATCTTCCTTCCATTGGTTCACTACCCAGTTCTCCACAATGGCTGGAGCTACAGGATCCGAAGCCAGGAGACAGGAATTACTTCCCAGTCTCCCATGCAGGAGCAAGGGCCCAAGGACTTGGGCCAACTTCTACTGCTTTCCCAGGCCACAGCAGAGAGCTGGATTGGAAGAAGTGCAGCCGGGACTAGAACAGGTGCCAATATGGGAAGTCGGTGCTGCAGACACAGGATTAACACACTGCCCCACCGCACAGTCCCTGGAGTTAAGATTTACATTGTAATTGAGAATATGTGTTTCTCATCTATAATTTGAAAACAGTAGCAATGTGTGGACTTGCTGTTAGAATTACAAGTGATGCTTATCTCAGTTAATGATACTTTCATACACCCCGACCTAGAAATTCCATCATTTCTTCATTTTTCTCAACTCTGAGTTCATGTCCATGAAGGCCAGTGACTATCAGGATGATGAGATAAATGAGTGCTGGGGTGTGAGAGAAGATGATTCAGCAGTACGGGGTGTTCATTGAATTAGTATGTGTGGTGTGTGTGAGTGTGTGTGTGAGTATGTGTGTCCCTCATGTAAGAGGTGCCTCTGTCATGTTGTGGTGATCATTTGGACCTAATACATGTACTGAGTATCAAGTTAATTTTTCAAGAGAGGGTATAAATCTGGATATTTATGCACAAATTATATCCATTTCCAAATTTTGACAACTAATTAACTTTAAAACAGTTTAAAAGTTTAATACAGTATGTCCATAAACTGAATAGGATCTCTCTTCTAAAACATCACAAAAAGGAATTTAAATCACTTTTTCCTGGCCAGCATTGTGATGGGGTGGGTTGAGTCAGCACCTGCCATGCTAGTTCCCATATCAAATTGCTCGTTTGTGCCCTTGCTGCTCTGCTTCAGATCCAGCTCCCTGCTAATGTGCCTGAGATGACAGCAGAAGATGAGCCAAGAGTCTGGACCTCAGCTACCCATGTGGGAAACCTGATGGAGCTCCTGGTTCCTGGTTTCAGCCTGGCCCAGCCCCTAGAACGCCATCCATCTGGGGAGTGAACCAGCGGAGAGAAATTCTCTTTCTAACTTTCCCTCCATCTCTCTCTCTCTGGAAATCTATGCCTTTCAGATAAATAGGATAAATTTTATTAAAATTCTTTTCTGTGATTTCCAGAATTACTGTGATCATAGTTCACTTTCTACAGGCCCGAGTGTGTATCATTCCTGTAGCTCTTCCCGTTATTCGTGAATCTATTATGTCTCGTGAAACATCTCTGGTCCTTGCTGTGTTTTAGCCTGAAGCTCTTAGAAATGACTGAGGAGAAAGTGACATACTCAGAACTGAAATTGTCTCACGCAAAGAAAAAGGAAGGCAAACGACATCTAGCTCACAAAAAAAGAGGTAACTTTTCTTGTTTTCTGATTTCTGAGAACATAATGTCAGGTAGAAAAAAATTAGCATAAATGTTTATCCTGCTTAGGTTCTTATCTGTTTACCAAGCTCATTATATACCCACTTTTTAAATTTTTTACAGCAAACCCATGCACAGTAATCCTGGGAATCATCTGTGTTGTGCTCCTGCTGGCAAGCATAGGGTTAGGATATATGTGTGAGTATGTGCAGCTGTGTGGGTGTGGATGGGCAATAAGAAAAAGAGAAGGAAATCGATTAGCCCAAGAAATGGTGGATTTTAAAAATAAGAAGTCTTTTTTTTTCTTTTTAGTTGTGGTCTAGAATATGGACACTGTAATAGATTGCTGAACTGGAGGAAGAGTTACAGTTATTGTGAAGGGGACATGGAGGGACTATGTATTTGATATTGCTAGATTTTTACAACCAGATAAAATTTAATGTTGGTACATAGGGGTGTCATTGGAAATGAAAAGATTCTGTTGTGTGACAAAAACGTGAGTGATTTTTTTTCAAATTTTTTATTCGAGGGAGGGATGGAGGAAGAAAGAGAGAGAGAGATCCCACCTTCTCATTATCTAAGTTTTAAAGTCTGCAACAGCGGGGACTGGGCTGGGTCACAGATGTGGGACAGAAATGCAATCCGCTCATGTGGGTGTCAGCGACCCATTCACTTTGAGCCATCACTACTGCCTCCCAGCATCTTCATTAACAGAAAGTGGGAATCAGGAACTGGACCGAGGAAGCAAACTTGTGTGCCTGATATGGACAACAGGCATTTTTTAAAAATAGAACAATAGCTTTTTATTTTACATTTTTATTCTCAACTTAATGGAAGAAACTGCTGTTTCTCTCATAGACTTTTAACTTTCCTTTTGCACATTAGAAATAGCTATATGAACTCATTTGCCGTGCATATTTTATGCATTCATTATACATACAGGCAAATCCCTTATGTCAATATGTAAATGCTAAATTGAGTCACATGCTGAGAAACCATTATTTAAAGATGGCATAAAATCTAGTTCATTTTTAATTTCCTTTGTTTCCAGTTTATGAAATGAACACTACTTTTTATGTGTCTTGGAAATAATAGATTTCAAGTTACATATAATTGTAGTTTTATATAAAATATATTTTATGGCCTGACACAAAAATATTTTAACTTTATCTATGATTATAATCCCAAGTAATCACCACCATGTTCTTTTATACCTAGAATTATAGGATATGATCATAATTAAGTGATATTTTAAGTCATTTATGTTGTTAATTTTGTGATGTGGATTGAAGCTTTTCAGGAGTGTCCTAAATGCACAACACAGGATAAGGAAAACACAAAAGAAAAGAACACATCCTCAGTACAGCTGGAAGATCATTCAGTGGTGCTGTCCGGTAGAGGTTTGTACTCAATGTTTAAGTTCATAGCCGACAGGTTATTTTTCATAGACTTACTGCCTTCTGTCCATTTCAATATATAAACTTTAAAAAGTTGATATTGGATCTTATGAGGAGTTTTAGGTTTTAACTTTACTCTTCTCATTAAATCTATTTTTAAAATCATAGTTAACTAAGCATTCGAGTTTGAAAAGATGTTTGGGTACAGAAAAACTCTTCTTTTATGCTAATTCCTTCTGAAGAAAAAATTAAATACCTAAAATCTTGTTTTCTAAATGGCCTGGTGTCTTGGGGTGGGGGTGACTTTTGTTTTGAAGAACAAGCCTGTGGCTTCTTGCAAGGAAGACACTTTTGTTGTGGAAGAAACTGCTACTATTTTTCTAAAAAAGAAGAAACATGGGAGGAGAGCAGGAATTTATGCCGGAACATGGATTCTAGCCTTGTGAAGATTGATGACATCCAGGAACTGGTATGTTCACTTAATTAACCTTTATGAGAAGCTTGCAAAGACTGAGTTAGGCTGCCTGTGTAGGCTTTCCTTGAGTCTTATTTGACTGCAGGGTGGAAACACTTGTATTTGTAGAGGGGAAGACATGCTTTAAGGACCTAAATAATTTCACTTTCTAAAGCAGCAGAGGTGGCTTATTGTGTGTGCCATGGAATTATATTGAGTCCTTACTACTTATGTTTTCATGATTTGTGAATGATAAAAAAAAAAAAAACACCTGAATGAGTGAATTAGTTGGCACTTAATTTTAGTGATTCTTCAGAGCCCTAGAATAATAAAGTATATTTTAAACCTTCTTCTACAATATCTCTATGTATTTCATAGGTTTCAAAAGAGAAAACATTATAAGTTTCTTCTTATAGAATTTAACTAAAGTGGAAAAATAATGGAGTGTGTATCTGGGACAGAGAACAGGAAAGAAAAGTGAAATGGAGAGAGTAAATTGCCTTTGGAAATAAAATCAATTTTTTTGCCTAACATTTGAGTACCCAAGGAAAGCATTTAAAAGGAATAAAATATAACTGAAATAATTATGAAAATATACACTAACGTTAGGTTTACAGTGTGTCAGATCTTAATATGCATTATTTCAGTGCATAAAAACTTCCACATAGGTAATGCCATTCCCATATTTTAGACAAGGAAGAAACTCAAGGAGTTTAGTTTGTTTGCCTTTGCTCACATAGTAAGTTAATTACATAATCTGCTTTAAAATTTGTGGCTAGAGTTCTGATTTCCATAGCTGTATGATATTCGTGGTATCACATGGAGAGACGTTACTTAGTCATTCTCTAGGTGATGGGAATTTGGGTTGTTTCCACTGTTGTTGTGATGAGCAGCTCTTCATTAACCATCCTTAGACACGTCAGCTGTGCACGTCTTTCATGTGTCTCCTCTGCAGTTCATCACAAACCTGTATGAGTGCAATTATTGGGTGTTCCCAGTTTTACAAAATAATGCCACAATATTTTTCAATATGTTTTTACTGATAGTTTTGAAGATATTCTATTGTTTCCTACCATCCTAAAATCTTATGTTTGCTCTATGTAAAGAATTTCCTTGTAGCTTTGTTTGCCTTTACTTGATCTCCACTGAACTTGATATCCTTTATTGTTCATATATGTTTTCTATGAACATTTTCTTCATTTTTTTTCTTTTGGATGATTTTGCTTTCCAATTGATTTATATGAACTAATGTTTTGTTCTTGGAACTACATTACTATATGCATGTCCAGATTTGAAACTTCCCTTCCCATGTTCTTCAAGGCGTGTTTTGATGAAGAGAAGTTCTAAGTTGAATGAATCCATACTTACCAATCACTTTTTTAGTATTATGCTTGGGGATTTTTGTGTCTTTCTAAAGAAGTTCACCATGGTCCTTTCTTGATATCTTTCAATCCACAAAGATGCAGGAGATTCAGACTTTTAGAACTTTGACTTCCATGGCTTCTCTGCACAGTAGATGAACTAAGATTGTCTTAAGTGAAATGACTAGTATTTTGTACAAGTCCTTTGTAGATAAAAGGCTATTATTGATGTAATGAGTAATACTAGTAATTCTAACTTGTGCACAGAATTTCATTCAATCACACATCAAATACACTTACTGGATTGGATTATACCAAAAAGAAGATAAAAATGAGTGGAAGTGGCGGGACAACACGAAACTTGCTCAACAACTGTAAGTTTGCATTTCACATTCTATGAGGTGGGAAATCACATAGTGTACTAGCGGATCCTCAGTGCCATGGAGCACTGTTCAGTCCCTGCTGGGTCAGGGAGTACAGTTCGTGTGGGGGGCAGTGGAAGGAAGAGGTTTTATGTTTTTAATGGGGGAGACACAGGTGATCTAATGTGATAATGGTGTTGGTATAATGATTTAAAGGAGGTGAATGAGAAAGCTAAGGGAGCTCTCTGATGGGGTAGCATCCTGGAAGGAAGACTAACTGGTGTAGAGATGGGGGAGTGCATTTGGTTTTCTCGAGGAAACAGGAAGAGGATCTGTGATACTGGAGGAATCTGAGTAAGGAAGGAAAAGTAAGTCAGAGAGATGACATGGATGAGATCATCTAGGAATGAGAGACCACAGAAAGACTTTGATTTCTCTTTTTTTTTTTCTTTTGACATGTAGAGTTATAGATAGTGAGAGAGAGACAGAGAGAAAGGTCTTCCTTCCGTTGGTTCACAGCCCAAATGGCCGCTACGGCCAGCGCTGCGCCGATCTGAAGCCAGGAGCCAAGTGCTTTCTCCTGGTCTCCCATGTGGGTGCAGGGCCCAAGCACTTGGGCCATCCTCCACTGCCTTCCTGGGCCACAGCAGAGAGCAGGACTGGAAGAGGAACAACCAGGACTAGAACCCGGTGCCCATGTGGGATGCCAGCGCCGCAGGTTGAAGATTAACCAATTGAGCTATGGCACTGGCCCTAATACTTTGACTTCTTAATGAGTGCAGTGATTCTCTTTTGGAGGGTTTTGAGCTGAGGGATGACAAGGACAACCTTCCTATTTTAAAAAGTCCCCTGGACACTGTGTGGTCCTTAGGTGGTGAATGGGAGATACAGATTGCAACTAAGAGAGTCACACTGAAAGTCAGTTGTCATCAACCAGTTGAGAGATGGTGGTGGTTTGGTCAGGACAGGTAGGGAGGGTGCTGGGGAAACGGAGCCAGATGCCAGACCTACTGTGAAAATGTGTGAGAGGAAGAGAATTCAGAGATGGCTGCCAGGTTTTAGTCCAGCAATGATGACAGTAGAGCTGTCATTAACTGTTACGAGGAGCATCAGGCATTCAGTTTTAGTGACAAGTTTGATACATCCATTATACATTTTGATATCTGTGGGCATGTCACATAGACATGTTGTGCATGATTGTAAACTTCATGTAAAAAATCTGTCTTAGGGATGTGTATTTAATGTGTGTCAATGCTGCAGGGGTGTGGACACTATGAGATGATATTTTGAGTACTATTTTATGCTTTATTTTATTAGAAAATCAGAGTTGGAGAGAGATCCTCCATCTCCTGGTTGACTCCCCAAAAAGCCACAATAGCCAGAGATGTGCCAGGAGCTTCATCCAGGTGTCCCATGTGGGTGACGGGAGTCCCAGGACTTGGGCTGTCTTCTTTTAGTTTCCCAGCACATTGACAGGAGCTGAATTGGAGGTGGAGCAGGCATGAATTGAACAAGAGCTCATATGGGATGTTGGCATCTCAAACAGCAGCTTAATTCACTGTGCCACAAGGCCAGCCCCTGTTGTGGGGGTTTTGATTGCTGAGATATCCAGAACCTGATCCATGGGACACCCAAACATTTAGCTATTGTGGTGATGAGGATGATTACGAGAGGGTCCTAAGAAAAGTAGTGAGATTGAAAGGAGGAAACCAGGAAAGAGCAGTGGGATACCTAAAAAAGGCACAACTAAAGTAATGTGCCGAAGTTAAATGGTTGGTGACTTCTTGCCAATAATAATTTTTTGACTTGAAATTATTATTATCAGACTCATATATCTGCTGGGAAATTCATATTATACACTTTTTCCATATATCATAGCATAGTCCTATAACTTAGAATCCATGTTGAATATTCTCATTGTCCAACATCACAAAATATCAACACTGTTTGGTGGACCAGACATGAGCTCAGTGGGAGTAAGTTCACCTTGTGTGTGAAATGCCAACCAGCTCCTCCTAGTGATGAAGGTGAGGACGGGGCTGTGGCCTCCTGCTATATGCCCATCAATCTGAGTCACAGGACACTGGAGCTGTCTTTGTACCTAATTATAATGTGTTACTAATGACCTTACATTATTTAGTAACTCTGGTGAGTTTCTGAAGTCTCAGAACTTCCAGAGTGGGCCCATCTAAAGCCTACCCACTGTGTTCTGTGTACCTAGTCCTCATCTGCAGTCATTCACCAGCATGAACTGTCCCTTAGCTTTAGAAATACTTACACCTTCTGATTTGCCACCTGTACATCTGTCAGAGGGATTTTGTGTTCACTTAATAATCACACACACACACATACACACACACACACATTTTTTAATTGTGACAATGAAATATTGCCCAAAGAATGATATTCTAAAATAAATATATTCTCTGACATAGGACTTTCCGTCAATCAAATAAAGTGGGTGAAAAATGTGGATGCCTGAAGCCACAATACATTAATAATGCTGATTGTTCAAGATCTTTTCCTTACATATGTGAGAAGAATAAGCCCTTCTTCAATAATTAGTACAACCTTTATGGATAGCAGTATGCAGATTCCTCAAAAGACTGAAAATGTTTCTGCCTCATGACTCAGCCATCCCTCCTCTAGGAATATATCCTGCAGTAACAAAGTCCACAAGGAAAACGATTCCTGGACTCCCATGTTTACAGCAACCTAATGTTTAATAGCAAATATATGGAATAAACCTATATGTCCATAAACTGATTACTGTATGAAGAATATGTGTGTGATGAAATATTACTTAGCCACTAAAAAGAATGAAATCCTAATGTTTGCAACAAAATGAATGGAACTATAGATCGTTATGCTAAGTGGAATAAGCCAGACAAGGAAAGACAAATATCAAAAGTTCTCTCATATTTGAATATTAATATGTAATGTATTAAAATGATATGAATTTCTTATTGTTTACTATATGCATAGGTAGAAGTATTCTCTTCACTGAATTGTATCATATATATAACAATTCCCCCTCCTTTCCTCACTTCATGATCATTGACATGAATTCCATGTGATATTAAAATCCCTGTTTTGAAGAGTGAATGTATATAATAGCTATATATGAAGTGAATATGACAAGATTTTAAAAATTGTTAAATCTTTAAATAAATATTGCAAATAAATAAATTCAACCAAAAATATATTTTATTTTTGAGTGGCACAAAGAGAGTAATTATATCTATTTTTTGGGGAATAGTATGATATTTAATACATGTTTGCAATATGTAAT